ACCTGTTCTGCACGGTGACAGTTTAGTTCGTTACGACTCCAACGAGCGATGAGATATTCACGACATTACGAAAACAAAACACAGTACAGTACAAATGCTTTTCATACATTAGGAGCTATACTTATTGTAATATTCATATTGAAGAACAATTATAATGTGATTCCACATTTTGGAATGTTTCAGACACAGATTACAATAGTTTTGCTACTTATAAAAGAGACTATTTTTATACACTAATAAAAGTTGTTAGTATACACTGTGGTTTCATTAAACTATCCTAAAAAGTTGTTTGTTCTCGTAATTTAAGCAATTAGTATACAGATGTTCTTGATTTGTTTACAAAACTTATGTAACTCTACAAGAACCAAAAATATTAACTAAAGAAGTTGAGAAAACAGTTGTTACTGTTACACAACTCTGTGAGAGTTACATTTCCAAAAATCATTATCTTAGAAACAATATTCAAACTAATTTCTGCTATCTGATTCACTGCGTGCATAATACATAATCAGCTATTTACTTATTATGAAGGAGAAAGATCTGCTACTCAAGCTTACCTTCAACAAAGTTAGCATTTTTTTTAATGCATCAATGGTTAACACAAAAACTCTTAAGTCTCTACTCGAAAGAGCTATGTTCATTCTGATAATGCAGATCCAAAGAGGAGAACTAAAAATTAGAAATGAGCCAAAATAAAGTATGAGTTAGTCGAAAAAATGTTGGTGGTAAAACAGAAACCAGAGTCATTATCTTTTAAATTTGTCCCATTTTTCATGTTTTTCCTTTTATATCATTACCTCTCGTTAAAAGGTGATGAACCATAGGTGATGTTTTTTCTCCATAAAAACTCACCCTGTACTTGTTTCATTATGTTAAACACAGTAAAATATAAGACACGTTGTTTAAATTCAGCTTATCACTAAGACAAGTTCACACTGTAACAAGTAACAGCGTTTTATTACATACTGTACAACATAAAACAGTTGTTAAGCTTATTGTAAACTTGGTGTAAGTTTGAGTATCTCAATCTTGACCCAATGGTTAGTCAAGTTCTAGTTCCACCAACAGTAGGTGGTCAAGGTTATTCAAACATTACCTGACCTGACACTCTGACTGTTATAGTAACACAATACAACACCAATATTCATGTTGGATACTAGCCAGGCGGACAGTCCAATACAGGCTGTTGTGTATTTATACTGGGACAACTTATTGTGTATTCAACATTGTGTCAAGTGAAAAATACATTTATCTATTTTACTGACTATGCCTTTAGCCTTAGCCTGACAAAATTTATATCGATTTCCATATCACATAAAATCATCATTTAAGTTCAATTGTATGCTGTGCTCATATTATGGTTGAGGATTTTCATTATTAGTTTGGTATGCCTTCCTGGAGTTAAAAAAAAAACAAGAGGTTAAACAACAGTAGTTATCAAACACATAGCTGAAAGTAAGGTTACAATACCCCGCAGCAGCAAACCTGCCGTCTAAGCGAATTTCCATTTGCCTGAATAGATTTTCAATTAAATCTATTTAAATAACATTAGGTTTAATAAGTACCTAGGTTTTCTGCTACAGGGAAACTAATAAAGTGTGTTTGTAAAATATTAATAGCTTAGTATAAAATAAATTAATTTGTCAAATTTGATCAAAACATATCCATAAACAAGCAAACGAACACTTTACAATATTCTCCATAAGAATAACATGGGAATTTTAAAATTCGAATTTTTTTATTTTCCGTAACTAATAACTGTACAAAAACACTTTGATATACTGAATTATTTTTTTCTAAGCTCTTTAAAAAGTTCTAGAAAGAATTTAGGAAATTTTATGTTTTGAGGGTCAAAAATTAGACAAAACCAATTTTAACCCCATAAAGCCCCCCGTAAAACCACGTTCTCATGGTCCGATCATGCTGGTTCACGAACTCATCTAAGTTTATCCCGTCTTACATCTTTAAACCAAATTTCATTAAACCGGATACAAATTACTCAAGTTATCGCGTTGACGAACACATATATAACTTTATATACATATATACATTTGAACGAATGGTGTTTTTGGTCCCGGGCCTAGCTAGGTCTTATCGTGCCAATAGCTACTTCCCTATATGTAAATTTGCTAAAAAGAGGTTGAGATAAGACAACTTATTAGTTATACAAGTTTTAGGAGATTAAAAGTATAATTTAGTCAAGAAAGAAACATTTATTGAAGGACATTTAACAAGGATTTAATGTTATGTACTACTATTCACCATTCATGTATTTTCAAAATAATTCAATATTTGGTCCCTTGAAATCTTAAGGGTTGTACAATCAAGACAAGCCAAAAAGTATTACAAACTAAGATTTCTTTCATAACTGTGAATGCCAGTTGAGCGGAGCGATTGCATTTCATGATTTTTAATAAAACAATAAATTAAAACAATGTTTACAAATATAACAAGACTATTTAATTAATTTAACTTATTAGTTTGTCTCAGAACTATCAAGAACAATCATTTATAACAAAATGCCATAAGTAAAGATGTGAGCTAGATAGGCCCAAGGCGTATGAAAGCCTTTCATACGCCTTGAGATAGGCCTACATATTATTCTTTGTATCGTTAATTTTTCTATGTTTGCTTGTTGCCATTTGGTAAACCAACCGTTTTGGTTGAACCCTACAAATCGACATTTTCTCAATCTTGGCCGGATTAGACAATTCAGGCAGAACTAATTCTGCATGGATCCATATGATTATCAGATGTTATTGTTTTAGGCTTACCTGCTTTGCTTTGAGATAATTTCACAGTTTCACCATATCTATGTTTTTTTTTACATTTTGTACATTTAACATTATGAAAAGCCAAAAAGATTTTCATGCAAGTGTTCTACATTCAATTATCTCAAAACATTTACAGAAGTAGTTGTTTGTGCGTTTCGGGCGTTTATAGCTCGTTTTCATTTTCTACAAACATAAGACAGTTTTTAAAATTCATTCTGAAATTTTCCTTAATATGACACTCTTATGCGAATTAGGAACTCTTCTTGTAAAACGAAAACGCAAAAACTACTTTAGGTTTACTTATTTGGGCAATTATATATCCCAAGTCGTTGCCAAAATGCTGATCAATTCAACATGACGATCAAGTGTGTTGCCAACACGATACTATCATCAAAATTATTTCAAATTTTACAATAGGTTGGAAAGTATAGAATGCGGCGTTGTTTCAACTAAGTTATAGACCGCGTGTTTTGTTTATTATATCAGACTTACAATATGCTTTATTCTTTAAAAACACATTATTAAAATAGTTTGTTTAGCTATCAATTATTAAATCTTTGCTATCAAATACATGTGGTTATATTTAGTCGACATTGGCACACTCAAACGTTTTCACATTAAACTTCACGATAGGAAAAGAACTTTACTTGCACTGTTTAAAGTAAATAATAAGACAGCATCTTCATAATAGCCTATTTAGATAAAAATATTGATTTGGTAATACCTAGTAAATTAAACTGCTGATTCATAAACCGTAGTTGTTTTTACTCCCAATTATATAAGATAAATATTATTTGTTTTTACCTAATTTAGATTACATAGATAAAAGTTTTAAAATAACTATAACTATAACTATTCGATCAGTGATAGTTTTCAAATGACATATAATACTTTCTTTGTATTATTTGATCAGTGGTCATCATCCGAATCTTTATCCTTTGCACTGTTTTAGGTCGTATATTGGCTTGACATTAAACATGTGCTATGATTTTTTTTTATATTTACGTGGTTATTTTCTAACCCTCATGGCAACCCATAAGGCCAATGTTAAAATTTAAAAACCGTATGTAACTTTTAAATTAAATAGACATTATTAAAAATTGAAATTGCTCCCTCTTAAACCATCCAAACATTTATCGAAACAACTTTGGTAAGTTTGGCTGGAATATGTTCAGCCGTTATTGTGCGATAGTGTTAGAAAGTTTGCATTGAAGCCGATCCCAAAGAGCTTTGCTTCGCTCCGCTCAAATATGGCAGTGATTAAAACTTAGCGTTTAATTGTAGTTTGTTGTCTAACTAACATTTTCATGCATTAAGTATCTAGGAAAAAAATAATTTGCACTTAGGGGAATTAAAAAAGATCCACATAATGAAAACAACTATTACAAATTCAGTTTAAGTTAAGACTGTTGGCAATTGAAATGCAATGATAGTACATAGTAGCTGTGATGTGTCTATTAGTGGAGAGTAAGACGTGACGGGGTTGTTTTAGACGCCGAGACACTACGTGGTTACTGACACCCCCCAGCGAGATCGCCGCGCCGAGGAACAGTACTCATACTCTTACTCTTCCCAGGCCGAGACTTCCCGTCCCGGCTCCTCTGTCCCCTCACGTTCCTACTCCTCCAGCTCGGAGCGAGTAGTTCGCTCCTCAGGATCCGGTCCCGGCTCAAACTACAATTACACCACAGAGCGCTCCTCTCGCTCTGGAGACTACCCAGGCTCCTACCACTCCTCCTACTCCTCTACTACCAGCGGTAGGCTCCCCCACGGCACCACCTACCGTCACTTCTCATACCGCGTCTAGATACCACAGACCTATATACACCGCTTCTAGACTAGCTTTCTGCATTTAGACCACATCGCACTGATGTTAGCTATAGATAACACATATTTGTTACAATGTAGTTGTATTGTATTTTAATCGCACAAATAATTATTTTTGTATTTATTAAATATCTCTAGATAAGAAGTTCAAATAGAATATAATAATATTTAAATAGGTTTATAATTTTTCTAAACATTAGGAACATTTAAAACTAATAAAGTTATGTTTTGAAAGCGTGAATCTGTTGCATAACAAACACTAACGTACGAGGTTAGCGAGAGAAGCGTCTAAAACAGCCCCAAACCGTCAAAAGATAGAAGCTCTTGTGTGACTTGCCCTTGTGTGTTTCCTTGTTCTCGCTCCTTCTTCACCTTACCTTCTCGGCTCTGGACATTCAGCTTGTTCCTCACTATGGCGGCATCGTGCAGGTGAGTCAACCAGACATTGCGCTGTACATATTAAGGCATCTGATTTTAAAATAATAAGGATTGACAATCACTAATACTTTGTATTTGACGTGTTATTGTTAATAGTTTTAAGCTGGCATTTTTTACGGTTAAACTATTTACGGTAACTAATTCTTACCAAGCTTGTTCTAATGTGTTATTACTCTGTTTTATTTTTTCTCTAAAAATAATATTGTAGGTACTCACATTATTGGTTAGATAATATCCAAGCCAATTTTTTTTTTAAAGAACAAAATGTATGCTGGGTGAAATAAAATAGTGTATTCAGCTTTGTGCCTTTTTAGAGGCACAAGATAGTAGTACATTGTTGAAATTAAATGGGGTTGAGTTAAATGGAATGAGGACTGAAGGCGGAAGGATATGCCTGCTTAATATGACCATGTATAATATTTTATAGTTTATGGATTATTACTTGAAACTGATTATTTTTATAATCCCTTTTACGTAATATCATTGACTATTGATTAATAGTCAAAGTTAATATTCAGTTTTGATTTTCATCTGAGAAATTTGATTTAGTAAGTTGTAGACACTTGACAGAATTTACATTATAAGTGTTCTACTTTTTAGAGAAAGATGTAACAATAATACAACTTAAAGCTGTGTTTGTACAAAAGTATTTTACATAGTTTAATGCATAGCTATATCATGTTAAGGATATTGAATCATAATATATGGTTATTTCATTGGTTTTATATCTTATACAGTAATACTTACTTTGATGAATACTTTTAGTTTGGGTATACATCAGAGGGAAACAATGCAATGTGATTGCCATGAAATACGTCGATCAACGTCACACATGCATAACCTTATACAGTATTCAATTTGTAAGTGGTATTATATTGCTAAATCCTTACAAATAAATTCATTTATATCAATATAGTTTGACAATCAACAATAGGTAATATCATTCATTGTTTTTCAGGATATAACAATATCATTTTTGAGGCCACTACAATTTTTCTGCAGATTCCTTCTTTAGTTGCTTTGGTTTTTTAAAAGGTAAACCCCATTAAAATATTTGTTGCAGTGAGTTTGGTTTATTTTTGATTGAATTTGAAAAGAACACTACCTATGGATACCACTCGTGTTGTCTTTCCCCGGATTCATTCCATTTTTAGTACTGTGTACGCAAAATGACAAAAAAACCTGTGCTATAGTAATACATTTTTGCACTCTAAAACTGTACAAGGAATAACTAACAGATTTTATTAAAACCGTTAATTATTGTATAAAGCTATGTTCAAAATGTTAATGAAATAAAACAATTTATTAGGGGGAGGGGAGTAATTTTGTTTTAGTTAAAAGAGCAGACAAGTTAACCATGCTAAAATAAAAAAAATATATATTGAACACTTTTGATCGATTTTTACAAGTAGTTTGCAAAAATGTATATTATGTTTGTGACACCCTGTATATTTTGTAAATATTTATGTACTGTTGTTGTAACATCTAATTTTCGTAGACAATCACTTATAATCCAAAAGGATTGAATGAATATAGTGTACAGTCTTTGTTCAATTTTCTTTAAGTTTATTACTACAGTAAATTATTTGTATTTGTGATTTGCAAAAGTATTTGTGATTATATAACATTTTGCATTGTGAGGCCCCTGTTGTAGTCTTAGGTAAGATGTTCATTTCTGTTGAGGAAACAATCTTTATGTTTGTAATACTTGTTGTTACAAGATATAGCACAGCTTTAAGAGTAAGCAAAGGAGTGTCATTTTTTAGGTGTTAATAATTTAATAAAGAATAATTTAAGGTTTTTAAATTTATTTTTTGGGAGGAAAAGGAAAGTAAATATCCTGGTTCAAATTATTTATAAACCAACCGGTATGGGACAGGTACCCAGTTAAATAACTTCTTGGTATTGGGTTTTAAATGAACATCCAATCACTGAGGGTATAAAAGGTATGCATTGGCTTTAGATGTATTTATACCACAGCAGAACAAAATTAAGGAACACTTGTGGGGTTCCTTACCAGCCACTGGAGATTTGGAGCGAGTAATAAAATTAGAGAAGTTCAAACGTCCTTATGTGGCAAAGAGAAGAAACAGCTCCCATGTCTCGTACTGAATAGTTAAGCCAAAATATTATTTACAGTGATGGCAAATATAACTAGAAATTAAAGCTGTGATATCGTTCTTCAGTCGCAGCTATCTTTCCAACAACCTAATTTGATAAACTACCAGTATAAAAGATTTTGTGGTTACTAAAATGACAGAAATGGCTGGTATAAATTAAGTCACTTCATTTTTGGATATCATGATATGCTGATGCCAAAAATACCTAGCTCAATTAACTACCCTCCAGCAACGAACCATGTCAGTCCCAAACAACAGACAGATTAAACTGCTGACATCAACAGGCTACTTTGGTTATGGTACCTTCAACTTCAGTGTTCTTTGTTGCATCACAAAGTCGTATACTATAGTATAGAGCTGTGCAGTGCACCATAAACTGACATAACATAACACCAGACTGCCAGAGCACATTGCTGACAAGCACCATGCCATCAAACAATCAGATCAGATGTAAGAATTAGTTGTCCTATGATGAAAAAAAGTCTCTGCTTGAGAAAACTTTAACTTATAAGTTACTGTAACTTGTTGGAACACAAGCTTTTCTAGGTAAGCAGCCTGATCAACATGATACGCCATGTTATTGTTTTAATTGAAGCACTCGTCTCAACTTTCAAGAAAATTGAAAAGCTTAGGCAGTAAGCTACATATCTAGCCCTGGAAGAGGAGGAAGTAACTGGCCTGGCCTCTTAAGAAAAAGATGAGCGTCCTTATGAGGGTATCCCGGAAGAGATCAACCTCAGGCTTTTATTTGACTTGGTACAAAAAAAAAAAAAAAAAAAAACTGAAAACCTGATTGAAACAATTTAAATCGATGGATGAAGTTTTATTTATTCCTCCAATAAGTTTGTAAATCAAGGATAAAAATTAGGATAGTCTCCTTCTTCTCTCGTCCATTATGCACTAGATGTGAACAAATGGCTGGAAGAACTTGTCCCTGCAAGACTTGCCTAGAAGACCATTGCTGGATATTATCTGTATCTGGGGAAGCATGGACTTATCTGGTCACTTGATCAGTGTCTCTATTAGATTGAGCTATAACATTTAAGAGGATTAAGAGAAAGCTGCTCCATAATTCTCATGGACAGCTTGATGTTCATCACCTTAGGTAAAAAATTGCTTTCAACTCAAACAGAGAGAGCAATATGCTTGGAACCTGGAACGTTACATTAATATTCATTTCATACTCCTGCCTGCCCATTTGGAATGACAAAACACTTAAAACACTGTAGTCTGATGGCACCCCTGATTGTTAACGTTGTGCATTTCCATCAGTGTTGAAGCTGTTCAAAGGTGAATTCAAGAGGGATCAATCTGTAAAATGCGTCTTTTATGACACACATACACATCCTGCCTACATAGAAATACTTTATAATCCATAACAATATAGTCGAGAACTGCACTGTTGTTGATCTTAGTATTGATTACATTCCTTCCTAGCATGATGCATGTTTTACAGTTTATTATGTTACTCATGCTACTGGTATCATTTAAAGAATGTTCAGAAATGTAAATAGGTATTTTTATATACATATATATATATATATATATAACATCAGGTATCTCGCTCACAGTCCTAGTCCAACGAGCAATAACCTTAAAAAATGTGACATTTTTACTAAGCACAAGAGGAAATGTGTACTGCACTGTACATGTATTGCAACGCAAATTTAAAAAAAATCATATTCATGTCTTTTATTTCACATATTATAAATTCATTTTATACCTTATGCAAGCAATTATTTTTTATAAGTTCAATCAATTACACTTTAACAATGTTTAAACCCATTTCAAGTTAAGCCTGAAAGCGTCAAGTACAGCAGGGAATATTGTGCGTTGCAAGGGTGGCAGTCAGCCAAACTAGATGTAACAAGTGGGCCTTTGCTTTCTAAAATAACTCTTCATAACACTGCCAAACAGTGGAAAGTGCCCAATGTGTTAAGTGTGTTCATTCTTGGTACTACAGGGTCTTCGAGGACCTTAAATTGTTTTATGGGCTACCAGATAGAATTTATCTTTTTTGAGTTGAACTAAGTCAGCCTTTGCCAAATTTGTTTAAGACGGGTTAGGCAATCTTTGATTCGTAAGCGTTGAGAAGCTCACTTACTTTTTGAGGTAACAGGTGAAACAACAAAGTTTCATAAACGAGACTTACGTTTATTTGCAACAAGATGCACCTATAGTATCCTGCGCAGGATTCAGTGGCCGTAGTGGGTACTACGTTTCTAGGAAGGGTTATTTATGTTTTGGCGACATTCTGTGGCCACTAGGCCACCAGGGTTGAGCAAGTGTGCGGTTTTGGGGGGTTTTGTAAAAATATGTTGCGTCTGATTGAATCATATATTTATGAAAGTTTACTCAACCTGAATTACATATTGTTCTCCATAAGTAGAGAGCATCTTACAAGTGTATTCATAGTAAACTGTGTATTTCCTAAATTACAAGAGTTAAATATTTTAATGTAACAAGTTAATTGTCATTAAATAGAATGAGTAATGCTTATTTAAAAACTTCCGGGTTTTCTCGACCACCCTTTTACATTCGGCCTGCTAATCCTTGTGATCAGTACTCTCACTATACTTCTTCACGTGTTTACACAAAGCCAGTTGGCGGGCGTGTTACCTTCCTCAGTGGCATAATGAAGGTTTTTTTTCAGAAGCACCATAAGAGTACCGTAAATATTATGTTTATGAACTAGTTTAAATGAATTCAGGTTAGGTTAGATGAATGTTATATGTTTTGTTGATTAAATGTTAGGCGAACTATTTTGTAATCATACTTTTAACACCCAAGAACATTAAAAAAAAAAGATTGTGGTCTAATGTAACGAATAGGTTTTTTTTTAAATTGTATATTGTCTATTAATTTTGTTTGGTTTAAATATACAGTTGATGTTATTGCTGTTTATATGTGTTTATATTTCTTCATGAATGTGGACTTAATGTGCATTTTAGAATATGGCAAATAAAAAAACCGCAACTAAACACACATTCACATTACTGATTTATAAACCATGCTTGCTTTTGTAAATCATTTATGTGCTTATACACTCAAGCTTTATTCAGTTTGCTTTTTAATTAATCAATTAGCATTCAACAATGTAACCACTGTAAACGCTTTCTAATTTGTTAAATAATTATAAGAACGTAATCACTCAGCATTCTGAGGTTAAAGTTGTTTTTTGAGAAACTCGCCAAAATGTTGTGTTTCAAAACATAACGTTAATTTATTAAAAACTATTTCCATCAAGGTGTTCAATTTAGTAAAATTCATTAAACTGGATATAAATGTGGTTAAAACATTCTTGTACTACTCTTTAAATACATATTCTAACAAAAACTTTTTACCTAACATATTAATATACTGCAATTTCGTTATGAATGACAATACATTTAAAATATTAATATTTTTTAAAATTCTTCACACAACCAACTGAAATCACTTCTTTTTTTTGTATGCACCAACTGAAATCACATCAGTTCATTGAAACATTACTGTCTGATTATAACTTAATTGGAAGGTGACATACATCAATTGAAAAAAGGTGAATATTGAAAACTTAAATTTTTTATTGAATTAGCTGGAAAATTATAACCAATCCTTTTGCCAACAATTAAATTATCAAAACCTTGAAAAGCAATAATGATGTAATATCCGGAAGCACTTGATGGAAAATATTCAAAAGTTAACCATTTTAAATCTAAATAATAAAAAAGTTTTAAATGTTATACCTGTAGAGAAAAGCAAGCATGTGTTTAGGCTACACCGATCAACCTGGGTAGTACGATCCCCTACAACAAGAAGCTGGTGACTCATGTAGTTGCAGTGCCATCTCATCGCACTTCACGGTCTGTCATCTGGGCAGAACTGGACCGCATCAATCACCGGCCGAGACCTCATCTGTCCTACGTACCCAAGGAAGACTTCCTCAACGACCACGCCATCGTGGTGAGTCAACACCCACTACGGCTGGAAATAAACTTGCAGGATTGATTATTTCTATTTTCCAATTAGATCTTTGAATGATCAACTAAATAATTATTGTAATACATTTTAACAATCAATCACTTTTCATCTGAAATAAAGCAAACATTCAAACAAAACCACACCCACTTAGGGCACTGGGGGAAACAGTTAAAGTGAATTCTTATTTCTCAATGAAGACATTTGAATGAAATAGAATGTAAGACTATGTAATTAACTTGTTTTAGCTTGTTTTCTTTTGTTTTGTTAGCTTGTTGTTTTTCTTACAGCATTTTGATGACGAGGCTCGAGTTATTCGAGCTCAGACAAATTCACTATTGCGTCGCCTCGCAACCCCTGTGCACCGGCCTGCCAGACCTCTGCCAATCTCTCTCGCACCATCCTACAAGTAAGGCTATCTATATATTAAGTTACCGTACATGAATTATACTTGTTGAATGTCTTTACCACAATTATTTCAGTGAAATAGTACACGTCACTCAATCTCAGAAATATACAGGGTGTTTGGTAGTCAGTGTCAAATATTTTAAGGCATTATTATGCACACAAATTGCTATTAAAATACGCAATTTGGATAGTTATATCTCACTCCTACTTCCGGCAACAGCCATTTTTAGAATTTTCTAAATTTCTTGACATTGTCTAATAAAATCTCATATTTCTCATCTTTTAACCTACATAATGATATTTTCAATGGCATTTTAGTATCTTCATTAAATTTTTTATCAAAACATCTATAATATGGTACAGCTAAACCCATTTAAAAGTTCTTAAAATTGACTTAAATAACAAATTTTGAAAAATCACAAAAAGGGTGCTACAACTCGCTTAAGAAAATTGTTTACCAAGTCGTGTTAAAAACTGTCAAATAGTATAAAAAACATCTCCACATTTTAAGCTTTAAAATGATATGCAATATGTGACATGTAATGTCAGCCTAAGGGGAGAAATATTGCTTCAAAACATAAAACATGCTTCCCAGTCATGCCTCTATTGGCTCTGGCCTGTCCTGCTAATTTCTCGAAGACTCCTATATTTTTTTGCACATTTCCTCCACATGTTTTTCAAAAGTCATTCCTTTACTTACAATCACTTATTAATCAAGCCTGACGATTCATGTTTAGCACAACAATGGTGTTTTCCAGAATTTTCGGCGCCCGCCCATCCTACCTTCCGATATAATCAAATATTCTTTTTGGAGATGAAACACATGTTTAAAACTAATATCAATAACTTCTGACCATTATTCTTGTGTACCTACCTATCATAAATAATCATACAGAGGAATGCAGGTGCCATCCCTTACAATAGATAAAATTGGATAGTATATTATTGTTCCTTCCATATTCATATCTTCCACTCATTAAATAGTATCATGTTATTTATTTTCAGTAAAACTAAGATCGTAAAAATCACAACAAATAGTGTAACTGATGTACTGTCAGTTGACTTTTAAATTCATTGAATCTATATAAACGTGTTTTGCAGTGAAACACAAATTTTTTAACCACAAAAAATAAATCTGTATAGCTCATGTTTTCATTAATTTCAATTTAAGCATAACCAGCTGTTTCAAATATTAGTGTAAATTTCAGAGTATTCAACTGTTCTGTAAATAAACATTTTCTCCCTAAGAATAACATGGGAACTTTTAAGGCAACTTAGGCAGAGCCCTGACAGAATTTCAAACATTTTTTTGTTTGTTGGAAAATTTAAATGAGACTTAAACATGGTCATCGGATGCATGGCAGCTTCAAAACAATTTTTACAAAATTCATGTTGGCCTATTAAATATATAGATAGATGAGAAGGTAAATTGACACTCCTGTGAATTAAGCTTGGTAAAGACCCTAATGTACTGACAAGCCTCTTAAAAAAACACAAAAATCAACAATATGTGGTCGTTTCTTTTAGTTTACTGGCCATTTTTTTGTGATGAACAAATAGCACTGTATTGCTCACTAGGTCAAGGTCACTTTAAACTAAGCCCCCCCCCAATTACATATTGCTTCGCTATCTTTTTAAATTTACCATGATCATAAGTTTGAGTTGTTTCAATGGCGGCCTTGAGTATGAAAACTGTGAAATCAATTCTTGCGGGAGAAATACCTCATTGCAAATTATAAGTTTGAATTTCACATTTATGCTCTGTATAGAAATCCTTATCAAGTCTGATGGTGACTGGAAAGCTTAAAAAATGATTGTTTTCAAATCTAAGCCTTTTTATTGAACTTTCCATAATCTTTGAGTCAATGCAATAATGTATGTAGCCTAAAGAGCTTTATTAGTGTATATTTTATAACACAACTTTGGTATTCACATTTTTTATTTGTAACTACACTTTTTATCAAACATACTTTACCTATTTAAATACAGGCGAGAAAAAAATACAAATGATTGTTACAAATACACTTGCAAAGTTTAGGTGCACAAATCTCTGTGAGAGACAAAATCTTGGTCTCAGAGTGTAGAGTATGGCTAACGTCCAGTATAAAAATAAAAGCAAACATTGGCCTCTATTCAACGTATGAAATTAGAAAGGTGATTCATTTATTCTACGCTCGGGGTTGTTGTTTAGGGTGTTTCTCACTAAGGAGCCCTCTTCCTTTCTTAACACATGGCCCGCCTATCTCAATCTCCTACTTCTCACTTATGCCACAATCTATTGTATGTTTTTATTGGAGGAAATAAATTCATTATTTCAATACTGGTCTTATTAAAGTTTTGTATATACGGATTTTAGTTTTCTGTGAGAGTAGGCGAGAACTCAACAATTTGTGGCATTCTTCTTCATTGTTATTCGTCAGCATTACTCCTAGGTAAGAGAAATTGTTTACTTTATAAAATTTGTGTCCTTCTACTTCTACATGATTTTCATAATTTAATTGGGTAGCTCTTCCACATTCAATTATCTTGGTTTTGTCTTCATTGATATTTAAGCCAACCTTTTTAGTGTGGTTTATGAGTTTTGAGATCATAACTTTTAGTTCTTCTTCGTTTTTGGCTACAAGTGCCACATCATCAGCAAATGCCAGGATATTTATGTTGGTTCCCATAGTAATTCCAGCTTCTAGCTTCTAGCTTCTTAACAATTTTATCCTGCTCCTGCTCTGACAAAAAATTGATTCATTGTTAATTTTTTTTTAAAGCTGTATAATGTTGGCCTTTGTTTTCGTTATGATTAATAGTCCAGTAAATATATCAGAAAATACGGGGTTGCTGTGCAAAAGGTCAGGTAGTTTTGACTTTTGTATATGTTGTTATCCTGTGCTTACATAGCACTTTTGTTATTTTTGCATAACATAAAATCCAAATCTTCCGCCTCGAGGTGACAAGGCGCGGGGGTGGGATTTAGGGATAGGAATTAGGCAGGGAGAACGGGGAAATTCCATTCAGTCCTAATGTCACAGCTTTGGAAAATGCATGACTGCCCCAGGGGGCTCAGGTTGGCTCAGGTCAGTTTCAGTCCTATTGTCGCTTTAACCCCAAGGCAAGCCGTTACCTCATGCGATTTCCGTAGAATTCAAGCGGTTTACGTAGCGTAGTGAACAAGCTAAATCCAAAGGCGAGTGAGCGCAGGGAACGAGCTCCAATGAACAGTTTAGTGAGCGTAGCGAACAAACTTAAACCAGGACGTGATTGAGCGATGCGAACGAGTTCATCTTAAAGCCGGTCTTATATGTTCTTCTCTATGCACCTGTTCTCTGGGAGAATCTTAGAATCTCTAGAAAATGTTACAGACATAATCCATTTAAGGAGAGCTTTGAAGATCAAGACAACATGCTAGCGTCAGTAAATAACTCTGAGGGTACAGGAGAGTTAAATTTTCGGCTCGATGAAGAGAACAAGGAGCATCAGTTACAGCTTGAGAGTTTCCACCCTGGCCCATGGGAAATGCAAAAACCTTAAACAGACTATTTTTGTTATTCGTAACAACTACTTCCGAAGTTTACATTTAGAATAGACTCAGTGAATCTTTAAAAAAATTGTTTCCTCTTAATAGGGCATGCATTGATTAAAAAATGTTTTAACAATTTTGTTGGACCTCTGTAGCTTATAAAAATTAAACTCCTATGAACACACTTTATTCTTTATCTCTTATTTTTTCCATACTTTCTTTTAATTTTTATTTATAGGATATAAAATAGCATACTCACTAAATCTATACGGCGCGGCGGTTGCTTCAAACAACTTTATTGTGGAAATATTGAAAACTCACAGTTTTCATAAATCTTAAGGAAATTGGTTTATTTTGACAGACTGTATTTCGGCCATTATTTACGCTACTTACTTGGTGTTTAACAGTAGTTTTACAGTGGGCTTAAACTGTCAGACATTTATCTTCCTTAAATTTAATGAAGTAATATTTTCAGTAAAACTAACTGTTCGCGAGATAGAGTGAAAAACCATAGGAGTTGTCAATTTGTTTATATTTTGTTAACAAGTGGCGCGCCGCTTGGCGCGCCTTGGTATCTCGAGGTGGAAAACTTGAATTTTATGTTATGGGGCCAACACTAACAACATATCCAAAAATCTAAACTACCCGACGTTTTGCATACCACAATGTCTTATTTTACTGGACTGTATGGTGTAGTCTCATACCCAACATGTAGAGTTATTCCATTCAGTATACAAAACATTAAATTAATTTTTGGTCTATAAAATACTATCCTAGGGCCTACAACAATATAAATGTGAGGTGGTGGTTATCATACTGTATGCCAGCTTTGTGGACGTATTTAGAAGCTTGTATGTGTTCACAGCCGTCCTGAGTATTCAGTCTCAGAGCGCATCACCTCAGACGACTACATCCACCGCATGATAGAGCCGACTCACAATGTACCTTACAATATAAATGTGCTCTCCTACTACCCGGGAGTCGAACCTGTACCAACCAGGGTGAACATCGGTGAGTAGCTCACAACACCTCTATTGTATGTTTGAAAACAGTTTTGTAAGCAAATTATAAGCTCATACTGTATTGATGGCACTATTTTATGGAGCAATAACTTTGACCTATATCAATTAAAATTGTTATAATGAGTGGTGTTTTAATCTCTTGAACATAATAAAAATAATAAAAAAAAACATACTTACTTAAAATCTTTAAAGTTTTTCTATGAAGACTAAGAATTTGTGTAGACAAATAAAATAGATATGTAATCAGATAAACCGAAGAATATATTAAAATTTTCTGCAGAGCATTTTACATGGATATAAAATGTGAATATAACATTTTATATCCATATGAACATTTTATTTTCCACTGATCACTCAATCCTTTTTACCTCAACCTAGCCTAACTACCTTTTGAGTATTATTTGAAAAATGTAGAAGACATTTTCCATCACGATTAGTAACAGTGTTTGAGCAATATTTTGTAATCTGGTATCTGATCCAGTCTTTGGGTAAAAAAGTACTTAAGGCAAAACTAAATTTGCTTACAAACTGAGATAAAGCTGGAAAATCTTAAAATACCCAAACAGAGACAACAAAGTCAGAAATAAATCCTGAAAGAAAACAACAAAAAGTACAAGTAAAGGATGGGCAAACACAACCTACCTAGACCAATAGTCGGTTATTGCAGTTTTCACTCAGAGAGAGGCCTGACACATCAATAAAACCATTACAAATTTCATTTTTTAAACCCCACTCTCTTCTTTAAATCTTTGTCCAAGAAATATATAAAAGACCTCATTGTTATTATTTGTCAAAGACTAATAATTATGGTAAACAATTATTAAAATGGTAATACCCCTCTCCTAAAAGTCATTCAATCAACAGAAACAACATGTTAACGTTTATGTAGGATACATGTATAACATTTTCACCAGAGGGTATGATAGTTTATGTTTTGTTGAAGTTGAAAATACAAAGCGTATTGTGATGAGTTAATTACAATGGTATGTTGCCAGGCAAAGGTCACCTGGCATGTGTGACGTACGCCGGTGGCCGAGCTTATCCTCGCAGAAGGGAACGCTACTCAGACAACAAGAGCATCAAGGATGAGATCAACATTCGCAGCTACTACCGAGCCCTCGACAAGCCTGACCTGTCTACCGAACGTGAGTATATCCGAGACACATTACATACTTAAGACATCATAAAATAAAACCAAATGATACGTCAAGAGTTTGGTAAGAGCAAGGAAAAAGTGTGCTATCTACTCTTTTTGGTTTTTGGGTTTATAGAAGGTATATAGAAACCATAACCACCCATCAAGACATGATTTTCAAAATAAAGCTCAATAATAATATATTATTATATTTAAAGGAAGAAGAAACCGATACAGAGTATAATGGTGGAGAAGAAACGTTTATAGCAAATGGTCCTTTAAGGAAGAAGAGGAATATAGGATTAGTAAAAAAATGGTTGTATATTGTTAAACAGTAGTTTGATGTTAGATGTCAATTTAATAATACATATTTTATGAGCATTTTATTTGATTAGAGCTGCATTCCCCAAAAATGTAGAGAACTCTTTTCCTTGTAAAGATTATAAGGGTACTCATTCCTGCAACTTGGGAGATCACATTTTCTTTTACGATGTTGCCTTTTCATTTTGATAAATGAATTACTTGCTATTGTATTATAAAACGTAAATACTTGTAACCCTAAGTACTTTTTAAAATTTTTGTTTTGTACATCATAAAAGCTGTCCTGGACTTGGCGAAAGTGTTGACAGGAAAAAACTAAACTGTAATTCAGTTTTAAATGTTGCTGATAAAACTAATACTCTTTTTTTACTTGACTTAAAAACCCTTTAACTAGGTAAAGAGGCTGCCTAGTATGCATTATTTTACTTGTAAAATATAACATCTATTTTATAAATACATTTCAACACATCTTTATCAATGTCTAGGTTGTTAGTTTATGTAAATTAGGATTCAAACTTATGTGTAACTAATTATTTATATTTCTATTGTTAATAGGGTTAAGAAATGTTTGTTTGCATTTTGGATACATTGATGATTAATGTTTGGCTGTTTTGTGTTTTGTAAATCACTGCACTATATTGTATGTTAAATAATAATGGCTGTAAATTTAGCTAGGTACTAGACTTAACTTAGCAGCTAAATTAATCAATGAATGTATGTGTTTCTCAGCAGGAAAGAAGGAGCCAGAAGTTGAAACTGCATCATAGATTCGCTAACACCCAACAGGCACTCATAACTCTAGCCTGTCTGCACTCAACTCTTTCTAAACTGTAACAAATTATCATCATTGACAACATTCAGTCATTAATGTACTACCTCTTCAAAATGTACAAACTAGTTACCATAAAACAAATGTTTTGTAATATTATTTTTTACTTCATACTTACTTTTCTGACTATAAAAGCATTTTAATATATTTAACTTAGTGGATTGTTTAATAAATATGACTATAATTTGTAGCTTTTTTTCAAATTCAAAGTTTGTCTCAATTCCTTTTCCAAGTTTCGTCAGGGTTAATATTTTGAATGCATGCTATTTTTAATAAGCATATTTTTGTGTTTTGCAACTGCCTGTTGATATGGAAAATAGAGCATGCACTTTAGGTTCAAATTACTAATTATAGTAGTGTGATAGATAGATAATGTAGTAAATATGAATACCTTGGGTTTTTACCTAAACATACAAAAATAATAAATTCAACAAATTGGAATTCACAAAATCTGTTAAGTAGAACCCCGTCTAAAACATTTCAGGTTAGAAAAATACTCTAAGCTGCTCCAATTTTTTTTTTTATTTGAAGGGTTATATAAAATCATATGTAGGCTATATAATGAGTTATCTACAAATAATTTGTCTAAGAATCGATAATCCGTTAACACAAATGACATTTTAATCCAGGATCAAAATTTAATACTAAGATTTATCATTATTGCCCAATTGATAGTTATCACATTTAGTTAATCATTGTAATTATGAGTATAATCATAGATTTAAAGTAATACCAGTAAACTTCTAATACTGAAAAAGTATCTTGTATACTAGTTAAAAATCTGTAGTTTATGCACAGTCAAAGCACAACACTGTCCAATTAACCCATCGTTGATAAATCTTTAAAATCAAAACTCCTATCGCATAGTAAGAGTTGTTGATTTTTTCAACCATACCGGTAAACTGAAAAAAAACTGAGTAAGTGCTTTTATGGTGTAAGGACAAAAACTCTGTAAATGATTTTATGATGAATGATGAATTTATTAGTTATTAATCAAAACCATTGATATCATTTTACGCACAACTAGGCATGTCTCATGAAGGTGCTTTTGGATAAATTACAGTATACAAAATCATTTCCAATATATCTTTGCATTTAAGACTTTTAAAATCAAAATATTAATCTATGTTCTTCAGACATCAAATCATAAATTACTCCATGAATTCAATATATTTCTTTCTATACGAGATAACCTATGTTTAAAGTTTATACAAATAGCTGTTTTATACATAATCATAATTTTGTAATTATTTATTATCTTGGCCGACAAAAGGCAATAATTACTACAGTACCCATTTAAATAAATGTATACTTGGTTAATTCTGCTGCTATCCACAAAATAAAGTACTGTATTAAAACTCTCTTCCTTACACAAAGCATCAATGAAGACCAGCATTTTATAATGTAAGTATATGAATTAACTTGGAGGGTTTATAAAATTCATTATTAACAATGCCAATGTTTGAATATGTTTCGTTACTTTCAAACTTATGAATGATTCACAAATCATGTAACCCCATGGTAACGTGATGTAATATGTGAGCAGTTTATACATTGTGTTGTTTAAGAAAAATGTTCTCTGATTCTATAAAGTCTGGTAGTGCAGCCAAAACAGCTGAAGAGTTGTAGCATGGCTTGTGTATTACGTTTGTATTTAGAGAAGTTTATTTATCCAGCTTATCAAACGGTTAACATTAGTAAATTTTAAACAGATTATATCAATAAACGTTGGGAAAGATTGACAAAGAGTAAATAAGTTAAACCAGTTTATACGATGATTCGCTTTCATGAATCGCCATCATGACTAGCTTTTTAATAAGGAAAAAAAATACATGAGAGCTCCATTACACAGGAATTACCGTATAAAATATTATAATAAACTTTTTTATCCTTGAATAATATTTTTAGCTTGGTTAAAATAAAAAAAAAATGTATTTCATAAAACAATCCCTACTCAAATAAAAGTTGATTTCTATAATTAAAAACTGGAATGAAATAAGCGAGATAAATAAGTTATTACTATCAACGAGAGGTGTTCATTAACTTTTCAATACACCAACAAGTTGTTTAAATTGCTATGATTATGGATACATTTCACTTATACACTGCAACTATTATATTCTTATATGATACTATAGTCCAGGGGTCTCCAAAATTTTTTACTCAAGGGACACATTGTACATTTTTGGAGGAAAGGCGAGCCTGATCAAACAATTTTACAGTGTAGCAAATTACACCCCCTTTAATTAACTACAAAGTATTAGTATACTTTATGAAACATTTAATGGCAATAAGTAAACTTAACAATAAATGAGCATACAACAAGTGTAAAGCTGAATATTGTATTTACTGTTTTTAATATTTTAAATCAACTGTAATTTTTTCCAGATAAAAAAAATAAGTTTTGATTTAATTAAAAAGGGCTGGATTTTTTTTATTAAGAATACTGCATTTGTCATCTAAATGTCAGTCCAATTAGGGTGAATTTGTTGTTCTGGTTTTTAGGGTTGATGACAAATGTTCATTAGCATGGGAGATTCGTTTTAGATATATCACTAGGTACTTGTTTAAACTAATTTTAATTTGTTGAGAACAACGTAGCAAGTAAAAGACATGTAACATACTCATTTATATAAAGGGTATTCAGCCGACCCGGAATCCAAGAATAGTACTTGAATACGGGATGGACCATTATTTAAATTCATCACCAATAGCGAATGCGCCTCAGATCATTGACAACGTTCCAATGGTTCTATTTCAATGACGGAAATCATTATCAGAGCGATACCGAAAGGTGCAATAATCTCGAGAGACAATTGGGGTATCGTGGAGACCACAAGAGAGGGTCACGAGTGTTGTCACGATCGCCGTATTGCTGAAAATGCAAGAAACTTACGAATGTTGCCTCCATTGTAAAGATCATACTTTGTATTGCCGAGAACGAATGATGCCTTCATTGCGTGTGACGATCGCAATATCGCCAAGAACTTAAGGAGGGTTTATGAGTGGTTCCATGATTGCAGGAGATGATTTTTGGTTTATATGATAAATGAAAAAAAAACATTTTCTCAGTAGGCCTTTGCGGGCCGGACAAAAACCCCTTTGCAGGCCGGATGTGGCTGTCGTGGGTCGTAGGCTGGAGACCCCTATAGACCCCTGCTATAGTCTATATCAGAATTTAAAGAAATATTATTTAATGGCGTGAACCCCTCTCAAAATAATGGCCTTATACAAGCAGCCCAAAATAGTGCTCAACTGAGCAATATTAGAAAAAGGTAAGCCATGCAAAAAGATATTCCCTGAAATATGTCGTTTATCTTCCATACTGCTATATTTTACTGATTTGTGGTGTTATTTTATCATGATAATGGTTACTAATGTACTAACCCAAATTAAACATGTGTAATGCTATGCACGTTTACAAATAATTCAGCATCCTGAAGTTTAAACTTTACCTATAAAGTATGAGAAACCATTTTTGATCATATTTTAATTTGTAGTAGTGTCCAACTTGAAGTTAGTATAGTAATTTAAATTATTTCGTTTCATTGAGGTAAACAGTAGAATTAAATTTTAATATATTTATTAACTATGTAGCCCATAAAATAACTTAAATGTTAGTCAATGATTTTAACTTTTTGAAAAAGGTAAAGTTTATGTTGATCTTAAATGTGTGTTCTATTGATTAAGAGGAGTAAGAGGCACTGATTTAGAGGTTGGGATACATTATAATATTCACTTTTCAACAGGACAGAAATATTGGTATTTATTGCTAACGCACTCTCTTTGTATTTAGTTGAGAAGTGGAAAGTGCCTCACATGGACTATCATCACGGCCGAGACTTGCGCAAGTACAAGATGACCATTTCAGCGCCACTTGTCGACTCGGTGAGCCTTTTCATCTTATTGTACTCAGCCAGGAGCCACCTGCCTGGCTTTAAAGGGGGGGAGAACATCAAAATGCCGTACCCGCCCGTAAGTTATAAGTGTACGATGTGAAAGTCCGTTCCATCCTGAATACTAGAAATGGAACGAGATGCTTGGCGTGATGTCTTCTGAACCCCTGTCGTTGTCACTAGCTTGAAAAACCAAGCACCACTCACCTCCGCTTACCCTACACCCACACTCTTGTCTACTATGGGATGTTCTTGTGAAAATAAGGGAAAGTATTAGTCTTTAAAATTCACATTACACATGCAATTGTTGTACTATTTCCACAGAAAACCTGTGACAACAAGCAAACGTTTAATTACTGGATGATTGATTTCCCATGTCATCTTATACTCAAAAATGATGTATCGACCTGTAACTTATTTCATTACAATTAGATAGTATAAGGCTAGATAAGTTCTTCCTTATATTTCATCAAGGATGTGTGGTGCACAGAGAGTGTACCATAGTAGAATGGTAGTAGGTTGATCAATTTTTTGCATTTTGATGCTGGCATGTAAAGCTGGAAAATCAAGGATTTATAGATGAGGTTCAAAATCCTTCTGAATTTCCCCTTTATTTTAAATTTTCTCTCTCTGAATTTTATATAATCTTTATTTGGTTGTATTTAGCTTTTTTAGTTGTTTAGATCTAAAGTCTTTTACATGCTAAATCTATCTATAAGTCACAGACTGCGGAAGCAAGGAATAAAAGATAAAGATAATATTTATTGTAAGAAAGAATATTTCAAAGTTTTAGTTTTATCCTTGAAAACTTCACTCAATCTACACCATTATTTGTGTAGATCAAGATGATTTGAACATTTTTTACAGCGTTTTCATGTTACTTAATTAATTGAGCACTGCATAATATGTACAGAGAACTAAGTAAACAGAAATTCTATATGCAGAAAATAGTTTCCACAAAAGAAAGTTGAAATAGCCAATGAATAAAATGTAAAAAAGAATAAAATAACTAGTGAAGTGTAGTCAAGGTTTAAGACACATTTATTTCTCTAATAGTTGGTGAGAGCATCGCTAGGTTATCTCGAGGCCTTTTAAATCTTAAATGTTTAATGTATCTGATAATTGATATTTTAACTTGTTAATACTTTATAATATTATAACTAAGGTTTAAGATCTAATTTACTATATTATTGTAAAGTTAGTGCATAGGTACTTTTAACAATAATTTTTAATAGTTATGTCCGCACATTTTGCCTTCGTTTGAAGTTGATTGTTAAATTGGTATTTTCTGTTAAATTGTAGTTTGTTGGCAGGTAGAAACAAATCCTGATCAGGTATGTCAAAGAAGTGTCCCCAGTTTTAAATAAGGAAAAAACTATATCTTGCGCATGCAAGGAGATTGAATCTTTCTGTAAAAGGTATTGAAGACCTTCCAATTTGACTCCATCTAAGACAAGGAGAACTTCCCCGTAAACTATTTGAAAGTAGAGTTTGAGTCACAAAGACTTATAAAAGTAACATTTTTATATCTAAGGGTTCAGTTCAAGTATGCCCGCATGTTTAGTTTTTTAAAGCATGAGTACGATTTTTTATTCAAAAAAAAAAATTGAACCTTTTGTTTGTAAATAGTTAACTGGTTTTCTTTGTTTCTTAGTATTTTTTATATTATCAATTTGACCCACAATAAGTTTTCTACCTGATCAAGACATTATTCTTGCTTCATTATACAGTAACATGTAACTATAATAAATATACACGAGGGGTCCCGTGTGCAAATTGTGGATTTCAATAGGGGTCAAAACTTGATACATTGTGGGGGAATGTTTCTAATGTCTTCAAATTATGAATAAAACTAATAATATACAATAGGTTAAATTTAATTTGTTGATTTTACATCCACACCATATAGGGTAATTCTACCTCAATCAGGTTAAAACTATCAAAACAATACCCTATTTAAAAATTCATTTTCAAAACTGTTACGTCTCATATTACCTATAATCTGGACCTTGTATTATGTGGTAAAACATTAAAATGAAGGATCAGCTGTTAAATTACAAATCACATTTAAAACCGTATATAAAGAAAGTTGGACTGGATCTTTGAATACAAACTCTAGAAATAAATCAAACACTATGGGACGAAGAACTAAAGAAAATCACCTTTTTAGTTACAACTTGTGACTCCGCTGGATCATAAGCTTTCTGACACCTCAATTATAAAAATCGGTTAAATAGGCCGGGTAAAAATTTGATGTTACAGAGAAACCCCTAAGAAAGTTCGAAAAAAGATTTATTGGACATCCTGACATGCCGTACCGAGTAATTTGCCACTTCGTCGCAGAGACCGCAGTGTTTCGGTTTCACGGTACGGATGTTCCGCCTTTTCAGATACTTGGAGTAGTTCACAACATTTTTGTCCAAAGTAATCAAAGATGTCCCTAAAATAATTAGGTTGCTTTTTAACCAATTCAGGGAATAATGTATGGAACTCTCCAATTTTTAATCTCTGTTGAGTTATTTTGTGAATTCAAAATCTAGGTTTTATTTGACTTCTTCACTTTTCTTTTTATTCTGCCACTACATATTAAACTAACAAAAATCTATTCTTTACTTAACCTAGCGTAGTTTTCAACACAAACGCTAGTAGGAGACGCTAGGAGGAGGTATATATCATCTGTCCATCTCGAACCGACCAATCCAGTGCGTGCACCGTACTAAAAAAGTGTGGAACGTCCGTAACTTTTGTACATCCAGTACCGACCGTTCCAATGCGCACAGACCATTGAATAGTGCGGCACATCTGTACCATCCGTACGTGCCGGCCCGACCTATTGCCTGCTTAGATTAGTCTTGTCATAGTGCCGAAAACGATGTAGTAGAAAATCTATGCTTCCGCCAAGTATGAAATTCATTGGCAGTTGGTAGATGCCTATGCAGAAAAGTGTTTCAACTTAGACAATGTTCATAAATAGCTTAGAGAGTTTCCAGAACACAAATGCTCATCTAGATCGGCAATACCTATGTGTTTATCAGTTATCATTGAAACAGTGTTGTTTCAGACTAACAGGATTTTAGCAATGCCCTTAGTAGTCTTAGAGATCTCCCCTATACCTCTACCAGAATGACAACCTTTTTTTCAGCTAGACCCGCTACAAAGCGATCCTTGTGCAAAATTTGGTCATTGCCTCAAACAAGAGTGATGAAGCGTCGAAGAACCAGGGGGAGGGGCACTATATCTGTTTTTGAAAACATACTTTTTCTGCAATTCCAGCCACTTCTTCCAATATTATTCATCAACGTCAAACCCCCAAATGTGGAAGATACTAAAAGATTAAACATGAGTGTTCAACTTGTGGTTAACTGCAGGTTAACACCAAAAAAGAAAGAACTTCATGGTAATTTGAAGGATATTTACTAAAAGCAATTCTGAATCTTCTAGCTATATTTTATAGTCTTGGCAAGTAGGGTATATATATTTATATTTCCATAAATATATTGGTACAATACATCATTATTATAACTTTTATGTTTCCATTTTACAGACTGGGGATACCAGCAATCAGGTAGTCAATCAAATAATGTAGAACCACTAATGCTAAGCATAACAAGCAATCGCTTCAAAAATATAAATGTTGATCAAGTAGAGGATGCTTACAGAGTAAAGTGAGGCTTACTGTTGAAGGATTAATACAAGATTAAATAATGTAAAAGGTATACATTATATAAAACACATAAAGATTGTGTTAATTATCAATGTAATGAATTTATTTCATTGGTACTTTCATGCTATTTAGTGTTTAAAAATAATTTTGGGCATATGGGCTGACTCGAATGAAGGGCAATCTGGGAGTCCAGTTTTTGATCACTATATCCAGTAGCGTGGACCATATACCAGCAATCACATGACGGATGTTTAACGTTTGAGGTTTATCAGCATAGATTAGTTGCTTTAAGTATATTCAAAAAAATATTCCATTGGTGTCAGATCACACAATAATGGAGGCTATTTCACAGGTCCATTACACATAATGATGTGACCACAAAAGGTTTCTTTCAATAAGACTATTTGTTTTGCGTGCTATATGTCAAATAGCGCCATATCATGCTAAAACAAAAAATGTTCTACATCATCATTTAAGTAAGGAAGGAAAAAGTTGTTAATCGTGGATCCATAATACATCAATTCTATAATCCAATTCTAAATTCAATCTATAATAGTACGGGTACTCATTCAACTTGGAAAAATATGGACCAATGATCCTACCTGCCCACAATGCTCACTTTTAGTGGATGTAACACCTTTTCAACAACTGTTCTTAGATTTTCTTCTCTCCAAAATAAGGCAGTTTTGTACGGATACGTAAAGCAACTATAGTCTATGCCAATAATGAAAAAGCTTGGCCGATTTATTAGCAAACCTCAGATGTCTGAGTGCCAATGTACGGTCTCTAGTCCAGTGCAATTAGCATTTGAGTAAGGAAATTCAAAAAAAAAGTTGAAACCTGTTGGAAATCATTTATTAAGGTCCCCTGAACCCACAGAAGAAAGTCCCAGAAAATCCCATGGGGACTTTTCCGCCATTTTGAAAAATAAGTCGGCCATGTTGGATTTATGCAAGCGTTTACGGTAATGGGTGTTACTAGTAACCTAGTTGACTTAAAAACCTCCTGTTTGCATAAAAATGTCTTATAAACTCTAAACTCCAGGCTAGATATTATATGTATAAAAAATGTGTTTCTTTATTTTTTTATCTTTCTTTACCAATTTAAAACTTATTTATTTTGATATATTGTAGCTCATAAATAGCATTTTTCATTTAGTATCCTTTTGGTTTGCTGTTATAAGGAAAACTGTTGATAGGAATTGTAGAGCAGAAAATCTTCTTTCAAATACACTGAAAAGGTTAACCTAAATATTTGAACTGTCCTACTCAAGCACCTTTAGAAGCGTTTGATACATTTTCGCTCGGCGGCCCGGCCCCCAGCCGTTTTCGTCATAACAGCCAATACTGCTGCCAGTTCTTTGTTGTTTTATATCTTAACACTTACCCATCTTAAAAATATATTTAAAAATACAACAGATAGCTTTTTAAATAGTTTATTATTTCATCCTTTCTACAAACAATATTTTAGTCTGATTTACCTAATTAAATTGGCATGTTTATCAGTAACAATTCCTAAGGAAACTTTAAAGTGTAACAGACATAAAAATCTGCAATTAATTTCACATGACAAAAGATGCAACATTACAACATATACCTAACATATAACAAATCTATATTGTTAATTAACATTGTTTACATCTATCTCCAGAGTATGCTTCAGCTTAAGGAAACTTTACCAAATGATGAGTTTGGGAGGTTCATGCATGGTTACTACACAATTAGACGTAAAAAAATGTTCTGGTCAGGAATATGGAGTGACATGGCGACAGAACAAATTCAGATGCGATGAAAATCGTTGGACAACTAACGACTAGTAGAGAGAGAGAGAGAGAGAAAATTCTTTATTTACAACAAATTATTTTGCAGCATTACATGAATCAAATAAAAATATCACATGGGTCACAATGACCTGTGCGTGGTAGAGGGCTCAATTTCTCGATGGGTTGACACCTCGCCTTAACACTTCTCATATAACCGAGCAAATTGAGATATTTAGTTGAGTTTACTGTGCGACATCGGATCAGCATGTCAATTTATGGGACTCACGTCGAAGTCGTAATCAGCATGATATTCACATCTTGGTCGAGTGGCTTCGCCTTCACAACCCATTTCAGCAAGCATCACCTCTGATGGCTTCAATATCTTCTGGGCCGGGTAGTGGCTGATAATGCTATCAACTGCAACCAAGCTGAAGAAGTTGGGATGTCATCAATACAGAAAACGATTGGAAAGAAATTTAGTTCAGTCACACTTCACAGGAAAGACTCTGTAAAAATATTGGGTCACATGACAAAACTGAGTACACGAAAAAGAAATTGCAGTCAACCATAAATCAGTTATTCCATAGGATCGTTTGTATAGGTACTAAGAAGTGACGAGTAACTCACATCACTCCTTCAGTACGAACTGTCACCACGACCACCATCACTCTTTGATGAAGTTTCAATTAGAAAGGGTACTAATGCTTTGGTTCCACAGCTTTAACAGTATGGACCATCTGAAGACAAAGTTCCTGATGGCGTGTATTAAACAATCGATGGAGCCTACCTAATACAACACATTATATGGGTTCGCCACGGCACATACAGACAGGTGTGAAACCAATATGTCGAATTTGTAAGGAGAAAATATGGCCAATGCAATATTATTTTTAAAGGATATGAGGAATTGAGCACCAAACACTATGAACATTTAAGAAGAACTGGATCGTTTGCTTCTGTTGACATGATTGTAGAGGATGATTTAGAGGTACATCTAACGCAGACACTCATTGTTTCAACAGCTCTGCGTATTGTCCCAACCAAGACTTTAGGTACAGAGACCTTCTTGTATTGTTGATTACTCTCGCTAGATGCAACGTATTCATGCTCATTCCTGCCAATGGAAACAAACCTGACCGCATTTTTAATATTAGTAAACTCGTAGACGGTTTAGGCAAATTACAACATTTTCCTTTCCTGCTACACACATTCACAGGTTGCGATACAACCTATGACATACACAGCAAGAAAGGAAAGAAAGAAGTGTAGAAGAAACTCCAAGACGCTGCAGGACTTTGGGAATCCGTCATTAAATTCAATGAAGATAATTCTCCTCAAGACGATATTGCAGCAGCTGGGGAGTAATTCTTTCTAAAAATATATGGTGTTGTTAGATAAGTCTCTACAATTTGTATTAACAATTGTCCTTATAACAGCAAACCAAAAGGATACTTGGTGAAAAATGCTTATTGTTAGTTACAATATGTCAAAATAAATAAGTTTTAAATTAGTAAAGAAAAATATAGAAAATAAAGAAACCCATTTTTTGCAAATTACCTTATTGGGAAGTAGCTATTACCGTAGGTGGCACGGTGAGACCAGGAGCCGAGACCGATATAATTTGTTTATTTTGATGTTCCTAGAGGCCAAAAAAACTGTTCGTATATATATACAAATATAAGTCCGTGAACGCGATAGCTTGAGTAAGTTTGTCCGATTTTGACAAAATGGGGTAAAAATGAGTTTTTCTAAATTTTGACCCTCAAAACTCAAAATTTCTCAATTTCCCTCTAGGGCATTTTAAAGGGCTTAAAAAACAAATAATTTAGTATCCTAAAATGTTTTTGTACGGTAAATGGTTATGGAGAAAATTAAAAAATTTTAAAATTTAAAATTCCCATGTTATTCTTATGGAGAATATTGTAAAATTGTGTATTTTGCTTGTTAATAGAAATATATTAATCAAACATGGCAAATTTATGTATTTTATATTAGGCTACTAATATTTTACTAAAACATATTTTATTAGGCTCCCTGTTAGCAGCAAACTTAGGTACTCGTTAAACATAATGTTATAAATGGATTTAATTTAAAATCAGTTCAGGCAAATGTAAATTTGCTTAGTCTGCAGGTTTGATGCGGCAGGGGTATTTTTATATTTAATATTTAGCCTGGAGTTTACAAGAATTTGTTATGCAAACAGGAGGTTTTTAAGTCAATTAGTTCATTAGTAACACCCACTTCCGTAAACGTTTGCATAAATCCAACATGGCCGACTTATTTTTCAAAATGGCGGAAAAGTCCCCATGGGATTTTCTGGTACTTTCTTCTGTGGGTTCAGGAGACTTTAAAAAATGATTTCCAACAGGTTTCAACTTATTTTTTTGGATTTCCCAAATTTGGCCATTTTGGAGCTAATTGCACTTACTGGATAAAGTGATAGAAAACTGGACTTGTAGATTGCACTCCATTTGAGCCAGCCACGTTGCCAATATGCCTAAAATTATTTTTAGAAACTAAATGGCATAAAGTTACCATTAAAATAAATTCATTACCGCGGTAATCAACATAATTTTTATGCGTTACAATATATATATATATATATGTGTGTATATATATTTAATAAAAACTATATAAAAGTTACTTTAATAGTAAATAAAAAAAACAGGCTAGTGGCTTTTAAGGGCTAATTATTTGAACTAATACTATGTGTACATATATGTACATATAAATGGATTTTTTAAAGAGGAAACCAATAATTTAAAATGTAGTTTGAAATATTTTAAAGTGCAATCAAGTTGCTCTTTAAGTTGCTCTTATTTTGGTTGAGTAACTACCATGTACTGTATACCTACATTACATCGATAGAGAAGGTAATTAAGGCAGAATATAGCAATACTGTACAAAGGTATTACATATGAATATTGAGTAATAACCAACATAGTAGCCATATACTCAAACAATTTTTTATTATGTTTGGGAACTTAATAATTACATACAATATTTATATAATATTTACTTACAATCAGATTATGTAATACAAGCAACATATCTCCCCTTTATCACTTCATTTTCATTAGACCTTTGGAGTTGGAAAGAGCAAAACCCTTTCAGGGGATATTTTGTTCTATCATTAAATAGACAAATCTAAGAAGTGAGAGTTTGATTTAATATAAACGTTTTATAAGCTACACACATAAAAAATTCTTGTCACTTGATAAGAAATTAGTTTAAGTGATATCAATTCATAATAAGGCGTACAACACTTTACCAGGTTGAACTCAAAGCATACGCTTAATTCAGGGGGGGGCTATCTAAGTTAAACCCTCCCCTCTGTAAAAAAATACTTGTATTTAAAATTAATTGGTATATTTAACAACAAATTTAACAAAATTGAATATTTTCATCATTTTCACAATTTATTACCATGCAAAGATTCTAAACATCCTGAACAACTAGGTATCTTAAACAACCTTTAATTTTTTTAAGAGGTTGGTGGTCTCTTTTAACCCTGAGTCTCAAAGACCTGTCCATGTGACCTTTATAAAGCAAGGTGTGAGCCTGTACAGTACTGATACTACTACTTAGCTCTTTACTTAACTGTACTGATAAACTTCAATTGGCGGCACTGAAATGCAAACCCTTAACATCGCACTACTGTGTGATGTTCACTAAAGTTGAAAACTGGTTCCTGATTAACTAAACAACAGGTTAATTAATGAGATGATTTAAAAATTAATTATAAATGTTATTATTTAGTAATCCTAAAATTGGTTTTTATTTTATTTTCCGCTTGGAAGAAGTTCTAATTAATTCTCCTAGTTTCCCACTAACATTTTCAAAACTTGTGTCTGTGGTTTAAGAATGATGCTCCATATACTCATGTTGTGCTTTATTTTTGTTTGCATTTGGTATGAAAGAGTATACTGGACCTATGTATTATTGTAAATATCTTGAGTGAATGGCTTTGTAATGAGTTCTAACTGAGCACTGAACAGTTTATCTCAAACAATAAACATAATCATACAGCATGGCTGATGATATTTGATTAATTTTGATTTTTGGTTGCTGTTTGAAAAACTCTTGAGTACCTAGAGTACCTAACAGAACTATCTTAGTCCACGCAATGAATACTCAATAAAAGGTATCATTGACTATTGGATATAGAAGTTGTTGTATTAATAGTCAAAGAAGGTATATAATATAGGGAAATGTTTGAAACACAGTTTTTGACTTGATAACTTTGTTTAGACTAGTTAACAGGGGAAAATATTACAAGCTGAGCCATGGGGAGGGGGTCAAAAGTACTATTTTCGATTATTTTGTGAAAATATCAAAAACTTTACGTTCTAGCTAAATGACTACCCTCAACCAAATGAAAGCTTATTACATTTTATAACCTATTAATTTTATTTGGGGAGCGAGCTGGCGTAGTGGTTAGAGCACGGGATTTCAGTCCCTGAGGTCCCGGGTTCGATCCCCGCCAAGTCACCAATGGATTTTATCTAAGTGATAATGCCGCAACCCCTAGGTCTAGCCTGAAGTAATGTGAAAAACAATCCCAGGCTCGTGCCTAGCGTCCTTAGGACAAAAAAAAAAAAAATTACATTTTATAACAAGGGTGGTTTAGTAACATTTTTCGATATCTTGTATAGCTCTCCCTCACATTTTTTGTTCTTTTTGACCCCATAATATGCACCTTCTGATAACTCTTTGAATATGCACCCAAAAAATTAATGCTTGCCAGAGGTTTTAATTTATAAAACGTTCCCAGTGTCTTGTCGAAACTCATATGCACTCATATAAGCACAAACATGTCCATAGAAACATATTGACACATTAGAATGGCCTACTATTAAGTGCAAGGAATCTGGTCATCAGGTCCACAACTATACAAATACAATAATTAACAGAAGCCATACTATTTAGACCCCAAGTACTCATTACGTGGACGTAATTGGGCATATTGCTGAAATTACTTGCCTGGTAATGGTACCTAATAAATGAAAAGGATAATCAGCCAAAGAGCAGTTCCAAAACTACAGATTTCACTTTCAACACTGAATTTATCTTTTTCTAATTTGATAATTTTGTTGCAGTATCAGTAAATGTTAGTTGCTTTAGAATTCTACAGAAAATTGATCAAGTAGTAAATATATAGATTTTATTGAAGAGAATTTGATGCTCTACAACCCTCTGGCAAGCATATTTATTTTTTGGGTGCATACTTGAAGGGTGTTTATGAATAAAAAAAAGAAATGTGAAGGAAAGATGCATTTTTGTAAATGTACAGCCTCATTAATACTATTTAAATTAATCAAACCGTTAATTCAGTTTTGAAAAGCAAGCACACAATTTGTTTCATAAAAATAATTAAAGTTTAAGCGACATATGAGATATTGGATAGTACAATAATTTTAATGGGGTTTCATTTAACTACAGTTATTTTAAAAACTGCAAAAAACTCCATGTTGGAGGAGGTTTGTTTGAACACATTCTATTTTTTTGAGTTTGAATATATGTATGGTTTTGTGAATTATTATATTCAAACAAATTTCATAGTAAATGAAAACGAGTTCAGTACCTAGAAAAAGATTTCAATTTTAAACTTAAAACGTGTAGCCCTTGCTGTAGTAGCCATCCACTACCTTTAACTGCTACATCAGTTTTCCATGTAATAATAATTCAATGCAAAGCTTTTTTCTAACATTTAACTTGTTAGGAAATTTAAAAATAGAAAGGTATTCATGCAATCAGTAATCATGGAAGGCTTTAAGTTTCCCATGTAGTTTCCTAGAGGATTTTATTTTATAATGCTACAAACAGCATATGCCTATTTATTTAAAAACTACAGTAGTTTATAGCAAAACATATTTTTTATAAAATGTAAATGCAATTACCTACATCATCATGTGTGTTTTACGCTGAATGCATCAACAAGGATTACTAAAGTCCATGCAAGGGATTCCTGGTTCTATACAGTATATTTGACAACTGTTTCAACAATGGATGACTTCTCCTTTGATAGTTATCTTATATTGCATGTGAATGTTATTTCAGAGAGGACTGCCGTTGACAATGCCGAAACCACCTAAAGAAGATGACGAGGCACTGAAGAAAAAACGTGCAGCTGAAAAGGAGGCAGCAGCTAAAGAATGGGAGAAAGAACAAGAAATTATCACTAAAAAGAAGAAACAAGCTGAAGAAGAGCAAGCAAAAATAGAAGCTGAAAAACAAGCAGAAGAAGAAAGGATTGCTGCGGAAGCAAGAAAAGTTCAAGAGGCAAAGTTAGCAGAAGAGGCAAGAAAGGCTGAAGAGGCTAAATTGGCAGAGGAAGCTCGAATTGCAGAGGAAAAGCGAAAGGTAGAGGAGCAAAAGAAGGCAGAAGAAGCTCTTAAGGCAGAGGAAGCCAGGAAAGCTGAAGAGGCAAGGATAGCAGAAGAGGCAAGGATAGCTGAGGAAGCCAAGAAGGCTGAAGAAGCTAGGAAAGCTGAGGAGGCTAAAAAAGCTGAAGAGGAAAGATTAGCTGAGGAGGCTAAGAAAGCTGAAGAAGCTAAATTAGCAGAAGAAGCACGGTTAGCTGAGGAAGCTCGTCTAGCTGAAGAAGCAAAAAAGAAAGCTGAAGAAGAAGAAGAAGCAAAGAAGGAAGAAGTGGAATCCACTGCTAGTGCAGTTGATGAAACTACTGCCAATGGAACAGCTGATCCTGAAGAAGTATCAGCACAACATGCTGTTGAAGAAAATGGCCCAGTTGCTGAAGATACTCCTATTCCTGAAGAATCTGCACCGGTCAAAGAAGCTATCAATGAAGAGTCAAAGCCCGTAACAGAGGATGAAAGTGTAGCGGCAGCAGAAAATAGCACATCTGCTGAAGTTGAAGAAAAAATTGAAACCCCAGCAGAGGAACCTGCATCAGAACCTATTGTTGAGGAGCCTGCCACCCCTGAAGTTCAAAACATTGAAGTTCCAACGAGTCCAGAAGAAGTAACATCAGAAGAGGAATAACAAACTGTTTCTATTATAAAAGACTTTTATTATAATATGTAACTTATTCACATGGAAGAATATGTACTATAAAAGGTCTTGATAACAAGACAATGTTTAATAATCTGTCTAAGCTTAATATTTTTATTGTCATTTTAAAATACACTACAGGACTTAATTGACTATGTTTATGAACCTTATAAATCTAAAATATTCTTTTCTATCTGTGAGTAAGTAGGTGATGTCAATTGTATGCACCACAGAGTTCATTTTTTTAAACTTCTTTGATCCTGTCTTATGGCTGTAATCTAAAGCTAACCCTAATTAATTAACATATTTGGTTTAGGCAAATGTTGTAATAATATACTACAAAATAATATTATTGTTGTACAATTCAATTAAACAAATTTGACATCATGACTATTTTATTACATTTTTCAATAATGTATTTGGTTAATATAAAAAAGTTACTAGTGATAAAAGCATATCTATTTTTATTTTCTTTCGTAAATATTCACATGTTGGGTCGAAATACATGTGATATAAAGGACATGAAACGGATTAACGTAAAACATTACATATTGATAAAAAAGGTACAAAAATCTATATATTAATAGGCAAGCATGTTTCTTTAAAACCTTTTTCCTCAGCTCGTGTGCATCACAGAGAAAATCTACGTACACTGTTAGAAAGATATTTGCCTGTAGATGTACATAATCCCTTTATAAATTAAAATAGGCTAAAAAGTAACCACAACATATCTATTAGAAATTAAAAAACATTTACATGAGCCTTATGGGTTGCCATAGGCCTACTGGTGACAAAAGAACGAAACAGGGTATAAACAGAAAATCAAAACAAATGGAAGAAGTTCCAATCTCATGTTTTATTTACAGCGTAGGGTGAAAATAGAGAAGCCTGTACATTACATATTTTTAGTTGAGTTTTCAACTACTGGACGACCTCTAGTGCGTATTAAAAGGCACTGTTAATATGTTCAAATGTTACTAGGTACTAATCAATGGTAGCCTATGTCCAGGTGTTTTTTTCATTTATAGGCTAGGCATATTAGGAATATAAATGGCAGTTAGCGGAAAGTTTAGGTACAGTCCTAATCATCACTTTCCTTTATGTTTTTTGGGTCGCTGAACACGAATATGAGGTTTGCTGACAGATATTTTGCCCGGAAAATTGGTTATTTTGTGAAAAACCTTAAAATTTGGGCACTTTTTTTGGTTTTTCGGGCAAAAGTGTGGGTTTTTGAGAAAATCCTGCTATGTAAAATTAAAGATGACAAAATTTACTACAAGTTTCCTATATAATGTTTGTTTCTATGACGAACCGTTTCGCCACTAGAGCACACTAAAAAGGCCAGAAGTACAAAAAATTAAAAACATTGCTAAATGCTGCCGTTTTACATTAGGTTTCCATGGAAACAACCCATGTTGCGATAATTTTAACTATTTATTCACGATAACAAACTGAAACATACTTAAAAATACCCCCGCCACAGCAAACCTGCAGACTAAGCGAATTTCCATTTCCCTGATTGGATTTACACTAAAATGTCTCCTTAGAAATGTCACATTTATTCCCTATTTAATTAACAGTTTAACGAGTACTTAGGTTTGCTGCAACAGGGAGGGTAAAAAGGTGTTTTTAGTAAAATGTAATAATTTGGTATGAAATGAATACATTTTCCAAATTTGATCAAAATATGTTCATAAACAAGCAAACTACAACAGTTTACTTAGTCTCCATAAGAATAACATGAGCATTTTAAATTTACAGATTTTTGGATTTATCTCCGTAACCATTAGGCGCATAACAACGCTTTAATATACTAAATTATTTGTTTTTTTAAGCTCTACAAAATGGTATGGAAAGAAATCGCTAAATTTTAAGTTTATAGGGTCAAAAATAGGAAAACCCAATTTTTCCCCATAAAACCCCCCATAAATCCCTTTTCCCATAGTCCGATCATGCTGGGCAAAACCAAAAATGAAAATAAACTCTAACCGTTTTACAAAGGTTTTACATTGGGTTTCCATGGAAACAACCCATGTTACGATAATTAGAACTATTTATTCATGATAATGAACTGAAACACACTTGATAAATCTATGCCAAGATGTACGACTGACTGCTGGAACATTTCCCGTTCCCCCAAAACCCCCATTAATTTTCTCAGCACAGGGATGTTGCTGGTCACAGGGTTGACTGCTATAGTGATTGAGAAAAAAGGATGAAATACATTAAAAGAGTTGTAGATAACTTTTAACTTTGGTAACGTCAAATTCAGACGAGTAGACCGTGTCCAGCCCCTTGCCATAGTGAATAACGCGATGAAAGTAGAGAGTTCTTACCCGTATACCCCAACACATTGTTTCAACGTATCAGCATCGCTAAGAATTCTTATGAAGAACTAAAACACTTCTTGTCCTACGACCTGGGTCCATACTCTTTCTCGTTGTTTGATAATAACGGTTTGCACAAATAACCAAATCAAATCTTTAAAGGCCTAAAGCCCCTGTCCCCATTGAAAACAAGCACTTCCATGGTCAAATGCAGTATGTTATTGATGGTGGGTTCCTACTTCACAAAAGTTATGGCCAGAGCATCAACCTTTCAAGCATCCACCACCAAGCATCAACCAAGAAAAACTTAATCGACAACATACTCACCACTCCTTGCCTTGATATTAAGAAGAAAACCGTAGGCAGCTGAGAATATTCAAAGATAAACTTGGTCCTCAGTTTCTTACCCTTGAGGAAGCCTTAGAAGCAAATGAGGATGTGGAAGATGTTTTTTCTCTCATCTTGGGCCCATAAAAAAATTGATGGAATGCCAACTCTCTTCGACCCGAAGAGAGTGAATTACATGATCCTACCAACCAACCTATTCATGAGGTTATTAACATTATAAAAAGAAAGATTGTCTCCATTTTCCACAATTTAATCCTAAAAGACGGGTATTTCTTTCAGGTTGAGTTTTGTGGTCAGAAGACACACTAGTTAGTTTATTAGTGAATTCCCCTATAGGGAATAAGCTATTACCGTATTACTCATGGTAAGACCTGGACACGGGACCGATTTACTTTTTCGTTTTGAGGTCCCTAGAGACCAAAAACACCATCCGTTCAAATTCATATATGTGTCCGTTAGGGCGAGAACTCGACAAAAATCATCCGATTTTGATGAAAATTGGGACAAACGTGTAAACCTACGTCTATTCAAACGAGTTCGCGAACCAGCATGATCGGACTATGGGAACATGGATTTATGGGGGGTTTTATGGGGTAAAATTGGTTTGTCCTATTTTTGACCCTATAAACTTAAAATTTAGCGTTTTCTTTCCATACCATTTTGTAGAGCTTAAAAAAACAAATAAAGTAGTATATTAAAGCGTTGTTATGCGCCTAATGGTTACGGAGAAAATTCCAAAAATCTGTAAATTTGAAATGCCCATGTTATTCTTATCAAATTTGGAAAATGCATTCACTTCATACCAAATTATTACATTTTACTAAAAACACCTTTTTACCCTCCCTGTTGCAGCAAACCTAAGTACTCGTTAAACTGTTAATTAAATAGGGAATAAATGTGACATTTCTAAGGAGACATTTTAGTGTAAATCCAATCAGGGAAATGGAAATTCGCTTAGTCTGCAGGTTTGCTGTGGCGGGGGTATTTTTAAGTGTGTTTCAGTTTGTTATCGTGAATAAATAGTTAAAATTATCGCAACATGGGTTTTTTCCATGGAAACCTAATGTAAAACGGCAGCATTTAGCAATGTTTTTAATTTTTTGTACTTCTGGCCTTTTTTAGTGTGCTCTAGTGGTGAAACGGTTCGTCGTAGAAACAAACATTATATAGGAAACTTGTAGTAAATTTTGTCATCTTTAATTTTACATAGCAGGATTTTCTCAAAAACCCACACTTACCGATATTTGCCCGAAAAATCAAAAAAAGTGCCCACATTTTAAGGTTTTTCACAAAATAACCAATGTTCCGGGCAAAATATCTGTCAGCAAACCTCATATTCGTGTTCAACGACCCAAAAAACATAAAGAAAAGTTATGATTAGGACTGTACCTAAACTTTCTGCTAACTTTCCTAATATGCCTAGACTATTATAGAAATTTTTGGTTTAATGGTGATTTTCCCATAAAATAACAAAACTACCTTTATTTTTATTATAAAATTTAGTATGTTATCGGGCTTACTTTAAACAAAATGGTACAACCCCCATTGTTACCAAGATTACGGTTCAAGATTTATTGCTGTTTTTGTGATTTTCCCATAAAAATATCATACAAAAATTAAAAATCTAAATACAAAAATTACTAGACTGATTCTGATCAATAAAGTATGTTAAGGCCCTTGTTTCTCTAAACAAAATTGTACAATCCCCATTACTGTAAAAACTATTGTTAAATACTGTTAAAACCTTTGTGATTTTATCCAAAATACCATAGCTACTTCCACCACTAGCCCATGTTAACTGTTGTTGAAAAGCCAATGGGAGAAAATATGTGTCAAATTGTTGATTGCTGATACCGTTATTTTTTTTTTTTTTATAAATTCCTTGGTATCAAACTTTAATACCTAGTATAAGCCTTGGCATTTAATATAATTAAAAGATAATTTTGAGAAGAAAAAATATATCACTATCAATGTTAATCCTTAAAAAAATTTATTTTATAAACCGTTTTTTGGTTCAATGTCTTTCAGTTAGAACAACGGTTCCCAAATCTTTCGGTCTGGCGACCCATCTACATCTTGGTTTTTTTAAACCCATTTATTAAATAATATTGGACTATTATTATTTTTATTAATGTTATCGTGTAAATAATCTACTGAGAAACAGATAAATAATTGAAATTGTGAAGATGGTGTAATTGAAAATACAATATTTAGTCCAGAACTGTGTTATTGCAGAATTTTGAAACGTTGAGAACTGATTTTTACTAATTACAAAAGACAATGTGGATTATTTTTTACATCTACTGCAGGTGCTGGTCGCTGGGTAATCTTATTTCTGTCTATTTAACTTTAAATTACACCAAGTGGAGGATACCCTCTCACACAAATACGTGGTTGTAAACCGAAATATGTCTTTACAATACTACTGAATTGATAAAATTATTCTAACTAGTGTACATGTTGCTCGAATTCTAACAATTGCAGAGTATTACAAGAGTTATTTAGAAACGAATAACAGTCATAATTTCCGATGAGGTTAAATGTGATGAGATTAAAAAAATCATCGAGGATATTTTAAAAATAAACTCAGGTAAATTGCATAAAGTAGAAGACAAATTTTAAAATTTAAAGAACTGTTATTTAACTTTAGGTTAAGTTAAGTTACATAGTTACAATAAATATCTGGCCTAAACACGTGTTTACTGCAGTTAAAACTGCCAACATAAATCAAATTACGTAAAAAAATTAAATTGAAAGTCAAAATTTTCAACGGTAACCATGTTCGTTGAACAAACAAGGAAAAGGTAGATAAAAGACGTGTAACATGTGTTTATAACAAGCCATCCACAGTATACTAGAAAATTACCAAATACAGTACAAAGGGGAAACATCAGTTGTTATTATTGAGCAAAGATTACACTGAAGATTACTCGATAGGGGTACAATAATTGAACTAAACTATTCCGAGCCATGGCTCGGTCTCCAGGTACCTACTAATTTTAGTGAGGAAAGATCATGTGGCAGAATTATTTTTCATTTGCATGTGTTTAAGCATTACAATCGATTTGTAAAATTTACCATTGATAAAACATGGTTTTACTTAAGTTAGTTTTGAGTTTTCGGTGAAGATATTGACTATATTAATTTGAAGTTGTAGTACATACATCATTTTAGAGGTTATTCTAATGGAAGTATTTGTTTATGCTTAAACAAATCATAAGTTGAATGTACCAAGTAACTAGCACCGTAAACGATATTTAATTTATAAAAAAACCCCTATTGAAAAAGGTTTATTACAAAACATAAGTTTATATGGCTGTAAATCCTTATAGTTTTTTACAATTCTTGTAATAAATTTGACAAGAGCTCCCAACATTACAATAATCCTCATTTAAATATGATTTTTATTGCAGCTATTTCCATATTATTTAAGCAAATGCACGTTATTTTAAAGGAAATGCAACTTTAACCTTTCCGTGTTTTTTGATAGAAACTTTTATAAAAATAAAAAAAGTATATTTGTGTGTCCGTGAATGCGATAACTTGAGTAACATTTATCCCATTTTTATTAAATTTGATTATTATAATCTAAGGCTTACCTTACGATCCAATTGATTTATTGTGGAGACCTAGGTTTCTACGCCGGAGCGTTATCGTCAGTCCTAGGTTAAGCTAAACTTTTTGTGTTTCATCTCTTACTTGAGATATTGTCGGTTGAATAGAATTTTTACAAAAATAAACACTGATTATACATAAATATTTACAAAGACACAGTGGAGAAGTTAGATGCATGGCCATGATCTTGTCAATCCTAACCTCCAAAGACTGACGATAACGCTCCGGCGTAGAAACCTAGGTTTCCACAATAAATCAATTGGATCGTAAGGTAAGCCTTAGATTATAATAATGATTAATAACGATCCAGAGGCTATTTCTCCAAATTAAATTTGACTTGAAGGTGTAGGACGGGATAAATTTGAATGATCGAGTTTGCGAACCAGCATGATCGGACCATGGGAATAGGGTTTTATGGGCTAAAAATCGGGGTTTCCCATTTTTGACCATAAAAACACAAATAGTTTTGACATAATAAGATGTGGAATTGCCCCTGAACTGGTTTATAAATAATATAATGGTTTAATTACCTTCAGTCTCCAGTTCAAAGTAAGTCGATTGCGACCTAGGTTTCAGCACGACGTTGTGCTATCATCAGGCTTCCAGTCGAAAATGTTCAGTCCATTGGACGTCGTTTAGTAAAAACCACGATTACGTGGTAAAAACTATATACAGTTCACAAGACACAAACACATACACATTATAGATTGTGTCTTGACTGAAGGTACTTAAACCATTATATTAGTTAAAAACACAAAATTCCCCAATTTCTTTTCAAACCATTTTGAAGATCTTAATTAAAAAACAAATAATTTAGTATATTGAAGTTTTTTGTGCCGTGGTTACGGAGAAAATTCAAAAATTGTAAACGTCTTTGTTATTCATTTGGATGATAAGTAACCTGTTGTAGTTTGCTTATTTATGGATCTATTTTGATTAAAATTGGCAAATTTATTTATTTCATACAAAGCTATTAATATTTTACTAAAAACGAAAAACACACTTAATTATCTTCCTTGTACAGTAGGAGTAAAAAAAGGTACTCATTAAACCTAATGTTATTTAGATTTGTAAAAATTAAATTTGGCAAATAGAAATATGCTAAGTCTTCAGGTTTGCTGCGGGGGTATCTTCAATATCAAAAGTTATTCCTTGAGCTTGCACTTCACTTTGAGTAAAACTCCACTAGAGATGGTTAGGTTATGTTTTATGGCTAGATCAACAATCTTCAATCAAGCATCTGTTTAACAATAAGTGCTAAATAAAAACAAGTCAGGTAGTGACTCAAGAAAGTAATTTTTGCAGAGAAGCGAATTGGTAAAAATTGCAATATGCCACCATTTTGTAAGCTTTGTAAAGAATACACCAAAAAGCGTCCTTGTTAGTACTTCCTTGGGGAATCCCAGATTCAATTGGAGGTAGGTCAGTAAGAACATCTTGATATTTAATTTAGTAAGTTCTAAATTGTCTAAAAAGTTTAATTTAAAGATTTAAACATGGAAAATACTGAATGGGGTGAAAACATTTTTACTATAGAGTTGTTAATACGTTTTTATTAAATAAAAAAAAAAACATATAAAAAGAAGGTATATTCTTTTCAGATTTACTTTTGGATTGTGAACCAGTACAATATTGACATAGACAAAATAGAGTATGATAGAGACAACAACATAGTTTCAACAAACATGTACCATTTATGGACCCATAGGAACCATGTGGAACTAAATAGTGTTACAGATGATTAATTTCAAACAATGTAGTAATCACTGTTAGGACGTCACTGATTGGTGTCAGGGCAGATAACAGGCTATGAGCACCTCACCGGCGATCACGTTGGCCGTGGCCTCCTGACAACAATACACAGGTGACAGAGCGTGAGTGTGAGATGACGTCATTTGCTGATAACAGGACAATTGTATCGGTAACAATGAGATGCGCGCGCATGTCAGCTGACGCATGCAGTAGAGACAGTCGGGCGGCGGGCCCGTCAGTCAGTCAGTCTACCCGTCTACCGTGGTTATTTGTGACGGAAGCATCTCCGTGCACGCTCTACCACCACCCCTACTGTACGTCTAGGTATGTAGTGATAGATAGATTGGTTACTGATCTACCTCCTACTAAATTGGCAAACTTTCTTAAAAAATGGGTTAAAATCCCATTTGTTGTAAATTTAAACAATAACTCGTAAACTTTAGAAGTTGCTATTTATATTTCTAAAATTATAAATAAGCCGTACATTACAGTTGTATATATCCTATTTATTAGTAATATAAGATTTACGGTTGTCATTTATACATTTATAACAATTATCTCTGGTTTAGTTTGTTTTTCTCATTGGAAATTCTCATTTTTATAATTTACATTTCTTCCGTACGATGCACGGTTTTTTAGTGTAGAAGTAAAACACTAAAAAAGGATCTTCCCCCTCCTCCACTGAAGCAGAAGGGCTAAGTGAGGGGAAGTTTAGCATTTTTATCTTCTAACTACCCATAACACATTCCCGCAAAAAATCACCCCTCCATGATAAAAAACAACCATTTTTTATCATGGGGAAACCCCATTTTTACCCCATAAACCCCTGTTGCCATGGTCCGATCATGCTGGTTCGCGAACTCGTTCGAATAAATGTAGGTTTACACGTTTATACCGAATTTAATCAAAATCGGATCATTTTTGTATATATATTATGTATATAGTTCTTGTATTGTTTGTATATGGTTAAATAAATTACATGTATAATATTTAAATCACTATATATATTACATATTCTTTTTCAAGTTGATTTTTGTAAATTATAAATATGGTTACGATTGGGACTGGTCAAATATACTGAGTTAAAAGTATAATATGTAATGTTTTAATAAGCCCATAATGGAATTCTAAGAGTACAGCCATAGTACTTAGTGCATATCGCACTTAAGTATGAGTGAGTATTACGATAGCGTAGAACGTTAGTTCACAATCGAGTATGATATTCAATAAGAAAGCAAGTCATAACTCTGACCCATCCGACTCTGAATGTTAGGTGACGATAGAGCAGGAATTACAGGCCGCATTTAGTACAAAAGGATCAGGGTGAGTTTCTACTGACCGTGTTAACTTCGCCAGTAGGTTCTACTCACTAAAAGGAACAAAAAAGTTCATATACGAGTAAACCCTTGTCCGATTTTCAACCGTTTGGCTGTGATAGGGGATTTTGTGTTTTTCTTATTTTATTAGACTTTGCTCCACAATTTATGTAATAAAAACTTAACCAATTACTTTAGAGAGTTATAGTTAAAATCATTGGAAAGAATATTAAATTTGCTATAAATCAAAGGTTTCATTCAAGAATTATACCATTACATAGTCCACGTTATATCCAAAATAAAGTAAAAATGTCATTAAATTAATTAATTACGATAATGTTCATGAGCCCACTTTGATACATAAACCTGCATTTATGCAATGTTGAAATGCATAAAAAACTTGGCCATTTAATAATCTTTCAAATGATATGCTATTCAATACTATTATTGATATAAACCAGTGAGAAATTACTAATAAACTGCAATAAAACACGGTCTACAGATTTTGTTTTGACACAGTGTTTACTGTTAATAATAATTACTGTATTCATCATGTTGGCATACTCTTGATTGGTAAAAGGCTCCATAGTTAAATAAATGTTGAAAAACTCTTAATTGAATTGGAAATATAAAGTTAAAACAGCAAATTACTCAACAAGGTATGTTTAAGCAGCTGAGCTATCTAGCTATAGATGACAAATCAATAAAAGCTGACTTAATCAAGCACAAGGTAAAACTAATTATACAGCATTTAAGAATCAAACACACTAGGCCTACATCTTTGAAAATGTGAAAAACCTTGAGTTTATACATTTTATTAATTCAGATAATTTTAATAAATATTTAAAAGTTAAAATAATGTACAAATCTTATCAGATTGTTCAATAAAATACAACATGGAGTATACAGTAATTATTATCAACAGTAAAACTGTGCAAAAAAAAAAAATCTGTAAACCGTGTTTTATTGTAGTTTATTAGTAATTTCTCACTGGTTTATATCAATAATAGTATTGAATAGCATATCATTTAAAAGATTATTAAATGACCAAGTTTTTTATGCATTTCAACATTGCATAAATGCAGGTTTATGTATCAAAGTGGGCTCATGAACATTTTCGTAATTAATTAATTTAATGACATTTTTACTTTATTTTGGATATAACGTGGACTATGTAATGGTATAATTGTTGAAGAAAACCTTTAATTTATAGCAAATTTAATATTCTTTCCAATGATTTTAACTATAACTCTCTAAAGTAATTGGTTAAGGTTTTATTACATAAATTGTGGAGCAAAGTCTAATAAAATAAGAAAAACACAAAATCCCCTATTACAGCCAAACGGTTGAAAATCGGACAAGGGTTTATATGAACTTTTTTGTTCCTTTTAGTGAGTAGAACCTACTGGCGAAGTTAACACGCTAAGTAGAAACTCACCCTGTATTTTACAAGAGATGCCACCAAAAAGCGCAAACGAGATTTGCCTGATGGGGTACCTGTGGAACCTGGAGTCTGGGCATGAAGCGCAAACGTGATCAACTTTCTACCTGACAGAGGCTTAGTGCGTAAACGAGATCCACCCATCCTAACCTAACCTACTCAATTACACAGTCTTAGAGGGTCGCAACATGGCTTAAGGAACGTATCTGGTGGGTCCCTGGAGTAGTTGGCGCTATAGGAATACTCGACTACCTGACTCAGGTCAGTTGGCGCAATTAATGCCCACCCTCCCCACCAACCCCTACTGGATCCAACCCTGCATAATAATGGAGAGCAGAGTAAAACTAATAGTACAATAAAAATATATTTTGACTCAAAAAAAATAGCACAAGCGGGGAATTTGGTACAGATGTTGGGTGTACCTTCCTGTTGACGCACGACGTACTATATTAAGCAAATTAAAAATGGATGTGATTTTTTGTAGTGGACTGTATAAATAAAAACACGTGTTGCTGTAAAACACTGAGTTTATTGAATTGTTAAAATATAAAAAACTGAACAAACATGAATGAATTATATGACCTTGAATTGGTTGACTGTAATTAATGACTTTGAATTAATGAAAATTGAACCACCTGGACAATGTATTACGCAGTGTGCTAGCACAAAAAAACTCGACTGTCACGGATGGCACGAGTGTTTGTTCTAAAAAAAAACGCACTATACTGCCCTCCTTGTAGCAGCAAACCTAGATACCTGTTAAACCTAATTTTATTTATATACATTTAATAAAACATCCAAACAAATGAAAACTTGCTGAGTTTTCAGGTTAGCTGTGGCGGAGTTGTTTTACTCATAAAATAAAGTTACGTTTTAAGATTTTATAATATTACACTATATAACTAAATGGGATAAATTATCGTAAACCTTGAAAGTAACCGTCGATTTCCATGGGTTTCGCCTATTTTTGACAAATAGAAAAACTAAATATACTTAAACACAAATAACTCAAAATCGTTGGACTTAGAGGAAAATGATAAGTACAAAAATTGTGTAATTTTAGATGGACTACATTTTGTATATTTAAATTTTTCCTGTATCTCTAATAATAAAGTCACTATAGCCAAAAATACAGAAATTTGCCGCCATTTTACAATATGGCGGCCGTAGCACAGCTTTAATTTTAGGGGACTTTTAGTATGTTCAAAAGGAAGGTACACCCAACATCTGTACCAAATTCCCCGCTTGTGCTAATTTTTTGGGGAATTTTTCGCTTATTTTTACTGCACTATAACTAAACTAGGAGAATTCGGCAATCTAAAGTAAACCTGTCTCTCGTTTCCATTGTATCAAAACAAACTCATTCGAACTTGGATGCCAAACTACAAAAGTTAAAATTGATAGCGATTGGTTGCATTACGAAAACTGATATAAGTCAGTCACTTCTTCGCACTCCTTGATTTACTTTATGTGGCTAGAGTTCAACTTTATCTATCACCTTTAGTTATAACATTTGAAAAAAATACCCCCGCCGCAGCAAACCTGCCGACTAAGCGAATTTCCATTTGCCTGGATTGGTTTTTAATTAATCTATTAAAATAACATTTATGTATAACAAGAACCTAGGTTTGCTGCTACAGGGAAACTAATAAAGTGTGTTTTTATTAAAATATCAATAGCTTAGTATGAAATAAATAAATCCTCCAAGTTTGATCAAAATATATCCATAAACAAGTCAACTACAACATTTTACAATATTCTCCATAAGAATAACATGGGAATTTTAAATTAATTTTGTTTTTAATTTTCTCCGTAACCAATCACCGTACAAAAACACTTTGATATACTTAATTATTTATAACCCATTTGTACCCCATAAGACCACCCTCCCCGTTCCCATGGTCCGATCATGCTGGTTCGCGAACTCATTCATGTTTAATTTTGTTTTTAGCGAATTTCCCATATAGGGAATAAGCTATTACCGTAGTACTCATGGTAAGACCTGGACGCGGGAACGATTTTTTTTCGTTTTGAGGTCCCTAGAGGCCAAAAACACCATCCGTTCAAATTCATATATATATATATATATATATATATATTTTTTTATATATATATGTGTCCGTTAGCACGATAACTCGATCAAAAATGATCCGATTTTGATGAAATTTGGTACAAACGTGTAAACCTACGTTTATTCGAACGAGTTCGCGATCCAGAATGATCGGACCATGGGAACGGGGGTTTACGGGGGGTTTTATGGGGTAAAAATAGGTTTTTCCCATTTCTGACCCAAAAAACATAAAATTTAGCAATTTCTTTCCAAACCATTTTGTAGAGCTTAAAAAAACAAATAATTTAGTATATTGAAGCGTTATTATGCGCCTAATGGTTACGGAGAAAATTCAAAATAATTGTAAATTTAAAATTCCCATGTTATTCTTATGGAGAATAAGTAAACTGTTGTAGTTTGCTTGTTTATGAACATATTTTGATCAAATTTGGAAAACGTTTTTATTTCTTACTAACTATTAACATTTTACAAAAAAAAAAAAAAAAAAAAACAGTTT